ATGGAGGCGCAGAGGGCTCGCAAGCAGCAGCAGGCGAAGCTGCTGCAGGAGCAGATCGCCGAGCAGCGGCTGCAGCGCGAGCGCCAGGCCGCGGAGGAGCGCCAGCGAGCGTCCCGCGCACCGCCCGACGGCGCGGGCTCGGCGGCGGTGTCCCCTGGCGCCCGTGGCGCGCCTCCCCTGCCCCGGGCCGCCGGGGGAGCGCCAGCGACGCCCTCCGGCTGGGACGGCGCTGTGGCCGCGCCGCCGCCGCCGCGCCGGCGGGCGAAGGGGCCCGTGATAGACCTCGATGCGGAGTGGGCCGCCTGGGAGCAGAAGCACCCGGATCGCGTCGCGCGGCCCGCTGCCGCGGCAGCGGCGGCGCCGCCGCTGGCAGGCTCCGCGCCGGCCACCAGCCGGAGCATGCCACCGGCCAGGCCAGGCTCAGACTCGCCCCCGCCGCCAGAGAGGCTGCGGTCCGCGCCCAGGCCAGCGTCGCTGCCGTCGCCCAGGGCCACCCATGGGCAGCATCAGGGCACCGACCTCGGCGGCAGCTCCAGCTCTCGCGGCCGGCTCATCGAGGGCATCCGCAACGAGGCTGCCAGGGAGTTGCGGGACGAGGTGCAGAGGTTGAAGCGATCTTGCCTGGACCAAAGGCAGGGCCTTCGGCTTCAGGCTGAGGCCTTCCGCGCGGAGGCACTGCGGCTGCGCAGCGAGCAGCCTGGCCTGGGCGCGCAGATTGGGCTGCCGACCGCATTCGCGGCCGCCCCTGGTGCGCTGCCGCTGCAGCGCCTCAGGGCCCAGCTGCCGCCCTTCCCACAGCCGCTGCTGGCGGCGGCCGCGCTTCCCACCGTGACATCCGAGCTCCATGGCATGGCGCCGCCGCCGAAGGCTGCTTCGCCTGCTTGGACGACGCTGCAGGAGAGGCAGCTGCCGCCGCTGTCGCTGCCCCTGTCAGCCCTCAATGGCGCGGCGCCGCCCACGGCGGAGGACGCCCTGCGCCCCCCCACTGCGCACTTTGCTGTAGCCCTGCCGGAGGCGTCCACCTTCATCTTCCCAGGCGCGGGCACGGGCGCCCTTGCCGCCGGCCACCCGGGCGGCGCGGCCGCCGCGGCCGCCTCGCCAGCCCCCTCCTGGACCGACGCCCTCTCGGCGCGCGACGAGGCCTCCACCTTCGTCTTCCCTGGCGCTGGCCCGGGCGCCTCACCTCGAAGCGGGCGGCGCACGAGCGCCCCAGCCGCCGCGGACGCCTCGCCCCCGTGGCCCGCGGCCCCGCCCGCGGTGGCCCGCGGCCCCTCGGCGAGCCAGGGGCCCCGCGAGGTCGCTCTCGGCGGCGGCGGCCGCCCAGAGCCGGCCTCGCCAGGCGAGGCGGTGCCGCCAAGCAGCCTGGGCATCGCGGCGCAGGTCGGCGGCGGAATTTGAACACTGCCCTCGCCGATCATGGGTTCAGGCAACTCGAGGGGCGGCGGCGGTGGGGTTCGGAATTCGTCGAGCACGTGGCGAGAGCCGAGCCCTACTCTCGCCTCCCGCTGCAAACGCAGCAAGCACGGCGCCCAGAACGGAACGGAAACGCCGACTTTGCGGAGGGGGACCCCCCCCCTAGCGCTTCTAATGCCATCCTGGGGTGGGGGCAGGGTTGGGACGTCACCACCCCGCAGGGCGACGGTCGCGAGGCGCCTCCCGAAGCGCAGGCCCTGGGCGCCGCACCCGAAGGCCCGGCCCGCTGCGCGCGCACGCGCGGCAAGTGGGAAGCTGCCGACAGCCTCGGGGGGGGGGGGGACGGCGGGGCGAGGAGGAGGAGGAGGAGGAGGAGGAGGAGGAGGAGGAGGAGGAGGAGGAGGACGTCGACGTTGCGTGACCACGACGACGACGACGACTACGACCACGACCACGACCACGACCACGACCACGACCACGACCACGACCACGACCACGGCCACGACCACGACCACGACGACGACGCGAGTGGCTCAAAGACACGGTCCTGAGAGTCGAAGAACGAACAGCGGCACAAGCAGAAGCGCTCGGAGGTCCGCGCGCGGCGCCTCCGGGCGCCGCCCCCCAGCTCGCGCTCCGCGCGCCGGAGGGGAGGGGGGGGCGGAAGCCAGCGCGGGTCCAAGAGATCCGCGCGGACCGTCGGAAGCGTTTGTGATCGTTTTCTGATGCCCCACCCGACAGGTTGGGGTTACATACCACATTTCAAGACAAGGCCCCCCCGCCAACGCCACCCTGCATACCGCGGCCGCCAGACCCCAAGTTGTCCCGAGAATCGCGAGTATCGCGCCTCGCGCCCGGCCAACCCCACCCTGCATACCGCGGCCGCCAGACCCCAAGTTGTCCCGAGAATCGCGAGTATCGCGCCTCGCGCCCGGCCAACCCCACCCTGCATACCGCGACCGCCAGACCCCAAGTTGTCCCGAGAATCGCGAGTATCGCGCCTCGCGCCCTGTCAACCCCACCCTGCATACCGCGGCCGCCAGACCCCAAGTTGTCCTGAGAATTCCGAGTATCGCGCCTCGCCCCGATAATTCCGAGTAGCGCGCCTCGCGCTCGGCGAACCCCACCCTGCAAACAGCGGCCACCAGACCCCAAGTTGTCCCGATAATCCCGAGTATCGCGCCCTGCGCCCGGCCAGCCCCACCCTGCATACCGCGGCCGGCAGACCCCAAGTTGTCCCGAGAGTCCCGAGTATCCCGCCTCGCGCCCAGCCAATTCCACTCTGCATACAGCGGCCGCCAGGCTCCAAGTTGTCGCGATGATCCCCGAGAGTCCTGGCTGTTCCGCCACGCGCCCTTGACGAACACGACAGAATACATCATGTCATGACAGAACATGACAGGACGGAGCAGAGCATGCCAGAACATAACTTATCAATATTATGACACATTAGAGTGTAACATAACATCCTAAAACATACCACAGCATACCATGACATAACATACGACCGCATAACACAACATAGCATAACAACACTGATCCTAACATAACACACCTTGAAATAACATGCAATATCACGACGCATCATCACAGATGATTATAACACGACAGCATAACATAGCGACGGCGAAAACGACATAACTCAGCATGACACAACATAACAATGCCCAACATAACACGAGCATGGCAGAACATGTCATAACATAACATGTGAACGCCATGACAAAACTAGGGCATAACATGACATCACATACCAGACCATATCAGAATATGACATATCATAATACGACATAACGCACCGTGGCATAACATACCATAGCCGATCATACCATAACGCGCCTTAACATAACATATCACATCAGGACACATCATCACACACATAATATCATTATACGACAGCAGAACATAGTGACGACGAACACGGCAGAACACAACATGACACAACAGAACATGCCAGAGCAAAACACGAACATGACATAACATGCCAGAGCAGAACAGAGGAATGTCATGACACATTAGGGCATACCAGAACATTACAGAGCACACCATAACAGAACATGCCAGAGCAGAAGACGACCGAACACACCATACCATAGCACAGCCGAGCATACCATAACACACCTTGACAGTGCATAACAGACCATGCCAAGGCATAGCAGAACATGTCATAACACGACAACAGAGCACAGCGACACAAACTAGCAGAGCATACCATCATACACCATATAGATCCGAGCCGTCAGCAGACTGAACATCACATACTATACCAGATCAGAGCGTGATAGAACAGACAACGCCTTAATACAACACAACATACCATAACCGAGTATATCAGAACACACCATGCCATATCATATCATAGCACGACGTCATCACAGGGCATGCTATACTACGACAGCGACGCATATCAACACATACTAGCAGAGCAGATCATACCATACTATACTGAGCCGAGCTGCCAACATCATCACATAACAGAGCATACTAGAACATACCCTAGTATAACATATACATTCATGGCATAGTGCCACATATCGTATCACACCATACCATATCATACCATGTGGTGACAGGGATGAGCATGGCATGACACACTCAGTCAGTCGATAAACATATGCGTGAGGAACAACGTTAAAACATACGACGCATCTAACGTCACAAGCGTCATGACGTCACGCAGGCCCGTCGAGAAAAGAACTTGACTGCATGGAACTCGGTTGAATCGTTTTCGAATCCAAAGCGGCAGTTGTAGACCAATTCGACGACCGCGCGTCGTCGGGAACAAACGCTTAAGCTTTCGGTGGGGATCGCTCGAAGCACAACAACTCATTGTTTTGCCAATCGGCGCGGGCCCTCGCCCCCCCCCCCTCCCCCCCCCCTATGGAGTAGATCTGGTCTGTTTTTGCAGCCTGTTTCGAGCAGGTTGGGTCTCCCTCACAGGACGCACTGCTGCAAACAGTCGCATTAAGCAGAGGTTCGGAGCCAGGCCCCCCTCCCTCCCCCCCTTCCGCCCAATGTCGTAACGCCGAACAAGAAAACGCTCACTATGTTTTTTGATGTTGCTCTACTGAGGGCTGGGGTTCTAAGGATACAGGCCTCGGAACAACAAATAGCGAGCGCTCATGCCACACTGATCGGTCAACGCCTTCCCCATCCCCCTAGGGTTCGAAGCTGGCGGTAGGGCTGATTAGTTGCGCTTCAGCCGCGGTCTCCTCCGTGTGTGCCACCTTTGACTTTGGGGGAGAGGGTTATGTTGCTCTCATCGTACTTAAGTGCCACATCTCGGACATAATTTCGAGCACCCAGAAAAGTATTGAAACAGTGTCGAACGAGTATCGCCTCCCAGGGCCCGACACGTGAAAACCATCAAGATTCGGTACTTCTTTGGTGCTCGATTTTTGGGGTGATCAAGGCTAAAGTAGGTTGGAACATCATAAGGAGAGAGGGAGCGTCCACCAATTGTTTCCCCATGCCGCAGGAAGGGATCCAAGGGCGGATCTACACTGTTTGAGGCACCTCGCCCTCAGGGCCCCATCCTTCAGGACCCCGTCTCTGAACCACCGACGGGGGCTTGGGACGGCTGGGGCCTGCCCGTCGGTTGTTAGAAGCTGGTATTCTGAGATACCCAGATCCCAGTCTACTCCAAGCGCCTTACCACTTCAAGGATCGATCTGCTTTTGCTGTGCTTTGGTTTTCTTTGGGAGGGCCGAAATCCCATCTGCTTTATCCGCCTTCCTACTTCATGTTTCTGCCCACTTCTTCCGACCGGCGTGTCGTGGTTCTTGGAAACGGCAGGGCCGGCTTCCCCCTCTCTGCCCTGCAGTTCTTCCTTGCCCGGCGCCGAGCGCACCTCCGGCGCGCGCGGCCGCGACCCGCCCGGCGCCGAGGCCCCGAGGACGGCGGGCCGGCCCCCCCCTGGTCCGCCGCCTCGCAGCCCCCCTGGTCCGCCGCCTCGCACAGTGCCGGCAGGGCCCGGTCCCCAGAGGAGGGCAAACTGCCGACCCCGCTGCCCCTGGGGTGAAACAACCTGGGCGTGAAAAACCCGGGGGTGAAAAAACCCGGCTTTTTTTTCATCCTCGAGAGGCCCTCGTCGCCACCGCCGGATTTGCCGCGCAGGTCTGGTTATCTGCAGAAGGCGCCCGGGGAGAGGTGCGGGGCGCGGCGGGAGCGGTGCCTTTTCGGCTCCCCCAGGTCTGCCTCGCTCAGCGCGCCCAGCGGCAGGACGCGAGCCGCGGCCGCCCGTGCGGTTGCTCGGCGGAGCTCTGAGGTCCTGGCGCCGCCATGGTTTCGAGTTGGGCGTTTTCGCCCAGGCTCGGGCCCCAGGACCCTCACAGATCGATCGTGCTCCAAACATGGCGCAGGAAGATGGGGTCCCGGGCTCCGGTCGCAATTTTTCACGATGTTGCAGCTTTTTCGCTACGTCGGGTCTCAAGGAGCAGGGCGCGAGCGGCGGTGGTGGTCGGTGGTGTGCCGTGGGCGTCAGCGTGACCTATAAGGGAGAGGGGTCCTGAGGCTTCTCGCCGTTTTCGGCCTCTGGGTCTCCGGGTGCCTTTCCAGGGCCCTGGGGCCGTCAAAAAACGGCTCGGGATGATCTGGTGCCAGGCGAAAGGCCCCAGGGGGCCAGGACCTGTCTCATGGACGGCAGCGGTGGTGGCGTAGGAGCTGGAGCAGCGGTGGTTTTGGTATGGTAGATTCGTGGCGTAGGAGCGGGAGTAGCGGTGGTTTCGGTGTGGTAAGTTCGCGCCGTGTTGGCGTTGCGGCGTGCCTAGCGCGGGCGTTCAGGGTTGTGGAACCTCGCCTGTGGGCGGGAATACTGATATCGAACGACGAGGCCGCTCCCGCTCAAGGCTGAAGGATCCAGGCGGTGCCAGCAGAAACCAACACCTGCGTCGTCGCGGCGTGAGCCCGCCATACTTGCTGGTGGTGGGGTGTGGATGAGCGCGTGGCGCTGGTGGGTAGCAGCAGCACGGGGGTGGTGGTGTTGCAGTCGTGGTGGTGGGGACGCAGTCGCGTTGGTTCCCACAGGTCGGCGGTGCGCAAAAGGGGGTGCGAGGAAGGTGGCCCTCTCAGACGGCATGGGTGGCTTCTTCGAGGCCCTCCCGTCCTCCAGGAGTCCTCCTCGGAAGCCTCCGGGGTCCTTCGAGAAGCCGCATGTCTTCTTCGGAGCGCCGCCCCCCCCCCCACACCCCTCCCTGCTGCGTGCTTCAGAGGAGGGGCGGTGGGCTTCGTATTGGGTGCTGGCGGCGGGGGTTTAGCAGTGGTGGTGGGGAGCAGTGTAGCTAGCTGGTAGCGGCGGTGGTGGCGGTGGGCAGTGGTAATGCTGGAGGAGGGGTCGGGAGCAGGGAGGAGGGGGGAACGAGGAGGAGGAGGAGGAGGAGGAGGAGGAAGAGGAGGAGGAGGAGGAGGAGGACGAGAAACAGAAGGAGTAGGAGGATGAGGAGGAGGAGGAGGAGGATGAGGAGGAGGAGGAGGAGGAGGAGGAGTCCTCCGCATCCCTCCTCCCTCACTCCGCTCCCTCGCTTCTCGGGATGGTGCCTGGGAGGGGCTTCGTGGAGGGCCAGGTCTGGGTGGATTCCGATTTGGGTGCGGCGGGAGGGGGGGGGGCTGACACCCAGAGGCTTCGACAAAGCCATGACGGGCCTGTTCACCGCGCCCCTAGCCTCAGGACCTTCGGAGAGCGACCTTGCTCGGAGGAGAGTGTGCCCAACGGTGGGCTCTCGAGAGCTCTGGCTGTTTTCCCATTCTTGACGTCTTGGAGCACTTGTAGGGTCCCATGTAGAGTTAGCACAGAGGCTGGGGGGGGGGGAAAGACACGCGGCCACACTTCGGGATCCGTGTTTCTGCTCCCGGCGTTCTGAATGGTTGCCGCCTGCGCTTGGGAGAGGGAGGAGGAGAAGGAGAATGAACGAGGCAGAGGAGAAGGAGGAGGAGGAGGAGGAGAAGGAGGAGGAGGAGGAGGAGGTGAGGAGGAAGAGGGGGAGGAGGAGGAGAAGGAGGGGGAGAAGGAGGGGAAGGAGGAGGAGGAGGAGGAGGAGGAGGAGGAGGAGGAGGAGGAGGAGGAGGGGATGACGAGAGGAGGAGGGGAGGAGGAGGAGGAGGAGGAGGAGGAGGCGGAGGAGGAGGAGGAGGAGGAGCAGCAGGAGAAGCAGCAGAAGGTGGACGTGGAGGAGAAGAAGGAGGAGGTCGAGAAACAGGAGGAGGAGGAAGAGGAGGAGGAGGAGGAGGAGGAGGAGGAGGAGGAGGAGGAGGAGGAAGAGGAGGAGGAGGAGCCCGCTCGCACTAGGGTGGGCATATCTAACGCGAGAGGGAATAACTCAGGCGCCAGTGGAGGGCTCGAACAAGGAGGAGGAAGGATGGGGAATGGAGGGAAAGAGGAAGGATATAGCAACACACGCACAGCATCGCTTGTGTTTTACCAGTGCCTCCATGAGTCATTGGACGCAAAGCCTGAAGCACCCACATGAGCCATCGTGTGGGCCGAAGGCGAGTGCGCGTGGCAGGAGGGCGGGGCAACTCACACATGATAGCTGCGTGCAGGAAGCGGCGCGTCTGTTCACGTGCACTTCTCCAGGTCATCTTCCGTCATACTTGCCCATGCGGCGCCATTTTGTGGGGCTTCACCCCACGATCCGACGTGGCCTGCGTGGCAAGCCGCAATTGACTTCGAAGCCCACGTCAAAAGAGGGTAACCCTTGAGTGCGACCCTGGCGTCGTCCAATTGACGTCTATCTACGCGAGCTGTTCGGGAGGCACATGCGCAATGTATGATGCAATATCCTCTTAGCTCGTCAAGCATTCTGTCGACCACGTGCGAACACCACGGCTTGCTGACAATATTTGATGGGGTCTGTCGAGTCACATTTGTGAGGCATCATGCCGAGGTTGAGACCAATCCATGCGAGCAAGCGGACCAACGACTTGTCGCACCAACCGCCTGAATTTAACATACTCCTTGTGCAATGCGCCATTACTTCATTTTGTGTACACCAGGTCCGAAACAAGCCACTGACGTTACGACGCATCCAGTAATCTCGAGGCGGCCAGTTAGAGACACACTCCTGTCGTATAGTATGACTCTGTATGCAAAGATGACTAGATTTGTGAATGTCAGTTCGCTTTCCACGTCGAGATGGCGCGTTTCAGAACCACCAGCGGCCAGCATGCATCCCAACCACTTATGCGCGGCATCCCGGGTCAACATTTGGATAGCCGCGCCGACCTTTGTGATACTTTGTCGCGGTGGTTGCGTCTCTGCTGTCATGGCTACCGCCTGGGCCGCATTCAGGCATGCAGAGTCAATCCCAAGTTTGTTGATTCATCAACCACGGCGTCCAGCAGCACCTTGGCTTTGTCCAATGTTGTGGCAATGGTACAAGGTTGTCGGCAAGTGGTTCTCAAGCCGTCGCCAAGCAAGATTGTAAGATTTGAGACGCGTGCTCTCTACGCGGGCGTGACCTCTCCAAAATTGCCGCGAAGAGTATTGGGCTGACCACGTACTCTTTGCGAACGTCAGCACTGATTGGGATTGCCTGGCTCTTGGCTTAATCGCCCAAGGCTTACGCTTCTTGACCATGAAGCAACTGGTGCGTTGTCCAGATCAGGTGGTTGCTACCACCGATCTGCCGCAAGTTTCCCATACCGCTGTCCAGGACACTCGGTCGAAGTGCTTCTGTTAAGGCCAAGCTAGCTACCCACAGTCGGCAATTCGCCTCCAAAGTCTTCTCAAACACAAGGGCTGATGTTAGCAAGTGGTCCTCCAAGCGCCGGTTAGATCTGAGGCCAGGCTGCTCCTCCAGCTGTTGCGATTCGAAGGCGTGTTTAAAACGCAAGTTTACTGGCCTTTAGTTTACGTGCTTCCCTGCTGTCTTCTTCACCCTCCTCTCAGAAACCTTCAGAAACCTTCCCGCAAACTTACAGCCGCTTGCACTTTCGAAAGCCTCGGAACACAGCCGAAAACCCTCCGAAAGCTTCTCTTCTCCTACTCCCACCCGCCATTGTCCCTCCCACGCGCGGGGGAGGAAGGGAGGACGGACGAGGATTCGTGATGAGAAGAGGGTCTGGGGCTGATTTTGTGGGACTCTTGTGGGAAGGATGGAGCAGTCAGGAAGGACAAGGAGGAGGAGGAGGAGGAGGACAAGGAGTAGGAGGAGGAGGAGGAGTAGGAGGAGGAGGAGGAGGGGGAGGAGGAGGAGGAGGAGGAGGGATGAGCGAGCACGAGGAGGAGGGTAGGAAGAGGAGGGATGCACAGTCTCCTCTCTCCCCACTCCCTCCCCTTCCTCCCTCGCTTACTGCTCACCTCGCGGCTCGGTCAGCGAGCCGCACGCGGGGGCGGCGGGCACAGGACGGACGACACCATCTTCGGGAACCTCGAGTAGGCGGAAGGCTGAGGCCGCATCCGGAACCCTTACCCTTTGGTGGTGGCGTGGCAGCCCCAGCAGGAGGCTCTGGGCCTTTGGCGTGCCTCCTCCTGGGCCCCTCGTCGCCATGGCCAAGTTCGCCGCGAGGTCCTGGTCAGGTCTGGGGGCCGAGCTTGGTTGGGACCGGTGCCGGGCATCGCAAGCAAAACATCGGATGTGCGCTTTCTACTGTAGTTTTGGTGCCCCGGGGCCGTTGACGGGGCCCTGGGTTATAAGACACGGCCATGCGTTGGGCCTTCGGAACGGTCCAAAGTGGTCCGGGGGACTGGGTCGGGAGCTCCGGGGGTCCGCGCCGTGGGTAGTCGACGTCGGAGGTCTGAAAGTTGCTCTGGAGCAGGGGATGAGGACGAGGAGGTGGAGGACCAGAGTAAACCCAACATGCAGCAATAATGCTGCTACGCATTCTTTCGTGCAGAATTCCTCCTCATCTATCCTTGCAGGCATTCTATTTCACTGCGCGAAGCCCCCCTATGAAAAACGAACGCCCTATGGGCCCGCAGTTCAGGCTGGAGCTCCGTTTTGAAAGAACTGCCCTCTGTCTTCCGAGCTACAGGACATGCGACAGGGTGGTTTTCCAAGTTCAAGGAGCTTCCCCAGTGACAGACCCGCTCTGAAAAGTATCCCCCTCCCGTCCGTGTCACTGTCGCTCAAGTTTGATCCGTGGACATTCGAGGTCTAACTTAACGAAGCCTCAGGCGAGAACCCAGATTCGAAGGAAAGGAACCTTGCACTTGTGTGGCACGACCCGCGGGCGAGTCCCAAGTTGAAAAACGAGCCGCCTTCCATCCGTTCCATCGCCGGAAGCTTTGCGACGAGTGCGCGGCGCCGAGGCTATGACTCCTTTTTCAACAAGTGCCAGCCTCCGTCCGTGCATCCCAGTGAACAGTTCCAAGCTTCGGGATCGTTCTTTTTTGTCGGACATGCCTCCTTACCAGGAGGAACATCACCGCCCACCAAATCACCAAATCGGCCCTCCATCTCCAGTGTGTGGGGGGATCGGGGAACATTGAAAAGCACATATGGAGCCCGTACCCCCCTCAAACCCGAAATTCTGGTCTTCGGGTTGGGTTGAGGTGGTCTGGTAGGTAGTCAGAATACTCGAGAATATTAAAGCATAGTCAGGGGACGACCTTTCAATATAAAAAGTGCTCGGATTCTTTTTGGCAAGTATTCCTTTTCTTCCAAAGTCCACCTGTAGGAGGACATGCCCGATCTCAGGATAGGAGGATGTAAGGACGTCTCCAGCGAGACGCCCAGCCTGGTCTTTTCAGCAACGTCGGGGACGCGACAACGAGGACTCATCGATAAGGAAGAGGGACTGTGGAGGAGCGAAGGGGTGGGTAGGAAGGGGGGCCTTTGTCGAAACGCGCGAAACCTTGGAAACCTCACCCTCCTACCCCCGAGCCAGCGTCGACCCCCGGACCTGGAGGCGGATCCGGCCGTGGCGGCGAGGGCCCACCAGGAGGCCTCCCAAAGAGCCAGGAACGTGACAATCTTTCCGAAAAGGAGGAGGAGGAGAAGGAGGAGGAGGAGGAGGAAGAAGAAAGGGAGGTGGTTGAAGAGGAGGAGGAGGAGGAAGAGGAGGAGGAGGAGGAGGAAGAGGAGGAGGAGGAGGAGGAGGAGGAGGAAGAGGAGGAGGAGGAGGAGGAGGAGGAGGAGGAGGAGAGGGAAGAACCACTGCGACGGCGACGGCGACGGCGCCCAGCCGCCGCGGCCACCGCCATAGCCGCTGCAGCAGCCGCCGCAGCAGGCCAGGCGGCCCCCCTCGGCGGGGGCCTGGGCGGACTCCGCCTCCACAGCGGATCTTGCTGGCCTCGCCAGCTCGCCGAGGGATTCGCTGGCCACGATGGGCACGAGCAGGCCGCCCGCGGTCCCCGAGGAGCTCTCGACGGCTCGATTGCACATGAGAGTGGCCTTTTTGCTGGAGTGACTTTGGGTGCGGGCCCTGTGGGGCCCCCCGATCGCTCAATCAGATCCAATGGCAGCGGCCTGCGCGACTGGGGCCCCCCGGTCGCTGAATCCAATCCGATGGCGGCGGCCTGCGCGGCTGTGTTTGCCCCCCTCGCGCCCCCCCCCATGAGGCGCGCACCGAAGGGCACTCTTTGCCCACAGCGTCGCTCTTGCATGCAGCCGAGCGGCGGCGGCGGCGGCGACGGCTGCGGCGGCCGCGGCGGCGGCGGCAGAGGCGGCGACGGCCACGGCGGGCACGGCGGCGGCGGCCGGGAGGAGGCACGAGCAGGCCGCCCGCGGCCCCCGACGGAGCCTCTCAGAGCGGCGACGGCGGCGGCGCTGGCGGCCACGGGTGGCCCCCGGCACGGGCTGCGCGTGGACGCCCCGTGCCCGCGAGGGCCGCACTGCGCCCGGGGGCCCGCTGCACCTCCTGTGCTCAGAGGAGGGCGAGGCACCGATACCGCCTCCCTCGCTCCGTTTGCCCGATGTCCAGGGCCGAGGCACGAGGAGAGCCCCACCAGCTTCCGGATCCTGGGTTCCTTGTCCAGCGGCTCCTCATCCAATGCTCTCGCCGTAGTCAGGGGATGCAGAGGTACCCGTACCGCCGCCTTTGCCTCGTTTCCCCCTTGTTGGGGCCTCCCGGGAGGCCCTCGTCGCCACAGCCAGATGCGCCTCGAAATTCTGGTCAGGACGCACCCCGGGAGAGGTCCAGGGAGCAGCGGTATCGGTCCCTTTTCCTTGACCTTCCCGAGTGATGCAAAATAGCTCTCCAGACCTATACACCTATCTGGACTGCCTGACCTCGACTGGAATTTGTGCGTCGAGGTCCTGGTGCTACTTTTCAGCTTTCCCTGAAGGTCAGGGTGGTTTCCCCATGGATTCCTCTTGCCCGCGAGAGCCGTACGGCGCCGGGGGCTTTCCGCGCCTCTCCTGCGTGGTTTCTTTTGATTCTTTGTTCTTTTTGTTGCGATCTTTTTTTTTTTTTGGGGATATATCTTGAGTTTTATCTTTTTTTCTTATGCGTTTTTTTTTTTATTCTTGTGTTATTGTTTTTTTTTTTATTTTGGGTCTTGGTTTGGTGTATTTGCGTGGTGGGGCGTCGGTGGGGGGGGCCATCTTGTCTCGGCGGCGAACTTGCGAAACCCAACCTCCTCCTCCTAACCCTCCCTCTCCTACTTCCTCCTCCCCACTCACTCTCCTCCCCTCCTCCTCCTCATCCTCCTCCTCCTCTCCCTTCTCCTCCTTCCTCTTCCTCATTCCTCCCTCCGGCTCCTCCTCCTTTGCTCCTCCACCTCCCCCTCCCTCTCCTCCTCATCATTCCTTCGTCCTCCCCCCTCCCTCTCCTCACTCATCCCTCCTTCTCCTCCTATCCTTCCTCTGGCCTCCTCTTCATCCTCCTCCTCCTCCTCCTCCTCACCCTCCTTCTCCTCCTCCTCCTCCTCCTCCTCCTCCTCCTCCTTCTCCTCCTCCTCCTCAGGCGAGTCAATGGGCGGCGGGGGTAGGGTCCGGAATTCGTCGAGCACGTGGCGAAATCCGAACCCTTCCTCCCGTGTCCTATCGCTTCGGGGGAAGCGATGGTTTGTGGGAGTGGGGTTTGGATGTCGCCACCTGTCGCCGCCACGGCTGGACTCGCCACGGAGTCCTGGTGGGGACGTGCTCGAGGACAGGCCCAGGGGCTCACGGGTCGATCCAGGTTTGACGTCGGACACTAACATGGTGTCGAGAGCTTCAGTCATTACTGTGAAGAGTGCACTCCCCTGCCCCTCTGCCGCCCGTGCCACCGTGTGCGCATGATGTACATGCTGTTCATGTTTGTGGCATGCACGCTGCTCGCCGCTGTTTTGGCCCTAGTCCTAGGGCCCTGGGACTGCACCCGCAGTTTGACCGCCGCGCGGTCCGAGCGAAAACAACTGCACTGACATTGGTAGCGGAGCTTGTAAGCTCCAGCGGACGCACTGCGTGCTCTGCTTCGGTGGCTGTGACCACCCGCGCGGGCCGCCATGGCTGCCAGCCAAGACGGCTCAGACGCGGAGGCTGCGTCCTCCGTCGGCGCAGGTCCCCCAGACCTGCACGCGGTCCTGCGCGTGATGGCTGAGACCCAGAGGGAGCTCTTGGCCTTGCATCGGGATCGCGGCGGCGACAGCGGTCCCAGACGCACACGTCTACTGCTGTCGCAGGTGAAGCTCCCGGAGTTCGACGGTGCCGTCGGTACGAGTACCAAGAAGTACCGGGAGTGGCGCAAGGCAGTTGAGGTCATCCGCAATCTCAACCAGCTTTCTGACGTGGAACTGGGCCTAATCATCTACAGCCAGGTGACAGGTCGGGCCAAGGAGCTCGTCGAGGTGCTTGACGCGTCGGACCTTCGACGCGAGGATACGCTCGAGACGATCTTCGCTATCTACGATGACGCCTTCGAGAAGATGGACCACGAGCGCCTGGAACAGGTGCACCAGGAGTGGGGGCGAGCACACCGTCGAGCAGGGCAGCCCATCATGGATTGGACGACGTACCTTCGGAAGAAGCGCATGGAGTTGCAGCTCGAGGACCCCACCTCAGCGATCAGTGATCGCGCGCTGGCGAGCAAGATGCTCCGTGGCGCTGGGCTGTCGCAAAAGGAGCGAGCGCAGGTGCTCTTCAATTGCGGCGGCATCTACGACTCGAAGCGGATGGAGGTCGTGCTGAAGGCAGCCTACTCGAAGGTGCACGACACCGAGAAGCGCTCGGTGCTCCCTCGCCGCTCGCCGATTGTGGCGGCGCAGCGTGAGCACGGGCGCTCCTCCGGGAGCTCGGGCGGTCGCTATCCGCATCCTCCCATGGCTCGTAGGCCATGCGTGCTTCGAGGACGCCCTGGCCAGCATGTGCACGAGGTGGAGAATGGTGAAGACTATGATGAACACGACGGCGACCTGGGGGAGGCGCAGCATGACGAAGATGAAGCAGATGAACAGGACGATGGAGACCCCGGAGCTGGCGAGGGGATCATCTTCGAGGACGGCGCCGAGGTCGAA